CTTTTTCACGAACAACACTGGTGCACCCCATGGGGAAATACTAGGCCTGATGAAGCCCCTTATCTAGAAGGTCTTTCAACTACTCTTTCAATTCCTTAAGCTCAGCTAGAGCCATTCTGTAAGGAGGAATAGAAATGGGCTAGGTATCTGGAAGGAGATCAATTCCAAAGTCTATTTCCCTTTCAGGAGGAACTCCGGGAAGATCTTCTGGAAACACTTCTGGGAACTCATTAACTACTGGAACTGACTCAAGAGTTGGGATTTCAGATCTTGAATCCTTAACCCGAACTAGATGATAGAGATAACCCTTAGAGATCATTTTTCTAGCCTTAAGGTAAGAAATGAATTGACCCATAGGCGCTAAGCTACTACCCTTCCATTCTAAGATTGGTTCGTTTGGAAACTGAAAAACGAACGATCCTAGTTCTACAATCGACTGAGGCATAACAGGAATGTAACCAATCCATGCCTAGAATGATATCAAAGTCTACTATTTCTGGCTTTACAAGGTCTGCTGAGGTGACTTTCTGAGTACAGGGCAATTTATGTATACCCGTCTAGCTATAATAGGGTCACCGACTGGAGTAGAGACTGAGAAGGGTTCTGAGAGAGGTCCTGAGGGTCTCGACCTATGGAATGATCAACGGTCTATGGATTGATCCATGATTCATCCTGTCAGTCCGTCTATCGACTTCAGAGGATGGGTTCTAGGGAGGGCTGCAGGTGGCCATCCACGGACCACCGGTACAGACCATGGGTCACCCTACGGTCTGTGGATAGCAACTGTGGGTTGCACTTGCAACTTCTGGAAATCTGCTGGTTCGGTCTATTTTCGGATACAGGGTGTTACACGTATGCTGAAGACTGTTATGATCGGTGAATACCTCAAACTTAACCCCATACATTTAATGTTGCTTGATCTTGAGAGAAAACACCATTGCCACTAACACCAAGTCATGGGTGGGGTAGTTCCTCTCATGAAGTTTCAATTGTCTGGAAGCATAAGTTATGACATTCTTTTCCAAGATCAACGCAACACCCAAACTCTAATGTGAAGCATCATAATAAATAGTGGAATCCTTGCCTTCTATTGACAATGTCAAGATTGGCACTGTAGTCAAAATATCCTTGAACTTTTGAAAGCCTCTTCACATTTATTTGACCACTCGAAAGATACCTCATTTTGAGTCAACCTAGTCAAGTGCGTAAATATAGAAGCAAATTTCTTCACAAACCTGCGATAATTGCTATCAAGCCCCACAAAACTTCTCACCTTACTAGGACAAACTCAATTCTTAACTGCCTCTATCTTTTGGGATATACTATCACCCCTTCTTTTGAAACCACATACGTAAGAAAGCAAGCGAAGGCAACCATAATTCATAGTTATAAAATTGGCGTACAATTTATGTTTCCAAGGATACCCAGAACAATACAAAGATTGTCTGCATATTCCTCCTCTCTCTTGGAGTAAATCAAAATATCATCAATAAAAACAATAAAAAGGAATCCAAGAATGTCTTAAACACTTTATTCATCAAACTCATAAAGGCTGCAGACGCATTAGTCAACCCATACCGGGTCCAAAAAGATGACTTAGGTATGTCCTCATGCCTAATCTTTAATTAATGGTACCCTGACCTCAAATCAATCTTAGAAAAGATAGACGCACCATACAACTGGTCAAAAAAACATCCATGTAAGGCAAAACATACTTATTCCGAATGGTAACCTTATTCATTAACATTGTCAGTAGCCTATACACATCCCCATGCTACCATACTTCTTCTTTACAAACAAGACAAGAGTATCCAAAGGAGAAGCACTAGGATGAAAAAACCCCTTATCAAGAAATTCCTAAAGTTGAGTCTTAATCTCTCTCAACTCTACCGGAGCCATGTGATAGGGAGGAATATAGATTGGCTGAGTGTCTGGCTCCAAGTCAATATAGAAGTTTATATCCCTATTCGGAGGCATGCTAGGAAGATTGATAGAAAACACCTCAAGAAACTCAGAAACCATAGGATAGACTCAATCGAAGAAGACTTTGCAATAACATCTTAAATATGAGACAAATAGCCCAACTCACCCTACCCTACTTAGTTTGCTAGCCCAAATAAATGATATAATATTTCAATGGCTTAAGCATGTACATCCCTTCCCACTCCAATCTTTCCCTCCTTGGCATCTCTAGAGTCATTGTCTTAGAATTATAATTTAGCATATCAAAATAAGGAGACAACTAAGTCATACCCAAGATCACATCAAAGTCTAGCATATCTAAAATGACTAAATTTACTCGAGTTTGTAGGCCCATAAATAACACAGAACAATCATGATACACATGGGTTACTACAACTGATTTTCAAACATGGGTAATAACATATATAGGGGCATGTAGGGTATGACAAATCAAATCAAAACCTAGTGCAAATTTCATAGATACATAAGAATAAGTAGAACCCGAATCAAACAACACATTAGCAGAAAATTCTATTCTATGAGAGGCATAGATATTAGGTGGCAGACAATACTTTCATAGATATTAGGTGGCAGACAATACTTGTATGAGGTGCTTTTGTTCTTTGTCAAGTGGATTTTGGGACCCACTTGCAAGAAAAATGGCCTAAAGGTCCCTTTTTATCTCTAATCTCTCACCTCCTTAGTCCTAATTTTCTTCTTATGCTATTTAAAATTTGCTAACATACTTTTTGTTATTTTTTTGGGCTATTCGGTTGTCATTTTTTATAATAGAAAATATGATAATATAACAATAATAATTAATTAACAAATACAAAAAAAGGAACATAAAATGCACTTCTGACATTATCAAAATAAAAATATAAGTGAAATTAGAAAATAAATACAAAAAAATCTGATTATTATAAAGACAAACACATGAATATGAATCAAGAGTTCAGAAGATTAATATATATCATAGTATTTTTATTTTTTTTAAATGTGTATTTATATAGTTCATGTGAATCAAAGTGGTGAATTCTTCACGGACAATTTAATAGTAAATAATAGAGTGAAAATTTCTATTATAATAAATCAATGTATCATCTTCTATAAGCGAACACAAAAATGAAAAAAAATATAATCATAATGATAATAATAAAATAATAATAATAATAATAATAATAATGATAATAATAATAATAATAATGATAATAATAAAATATAATAATAATAATAATTAAAAAAATAATAATAATAATAATTCAATATTGGCAATTTGGAAATTGTATAAAAGAATTAAGGGCAAAAAGGTAATATACTTGGTCAACATAAAAGGGCTTTTAAGTTAAAAAAAAAAAAAAACTCCCCTCCCCTAGCTTTAGCTTTTGGCTTAAAATAAGTCATTTTTGACTTAAAATAAGTCACTTTGATAATTGTCAAACACTCTAATAAGTCAAAAACTAGTTTTTAAGCCAGTTTGACCAGCTTAAAAGCCCATCCAAACAGGCTCCAAATCATTTTTCTTCAACAATTTGAGTCTTTACATTGCTTGAACACCAAGTTGTAGTTTTTGTGGAACAAAAAATCATTGAACTTTTTGTCAAGTAGAAGTTGCTGCAAAAGTATATTTATGCTATGAAACTGAGTACCTATTAATTATCTACATAGTCTTCTCGTTTGAAGTTGAGTCTTTCTATTCTCCTTGTTGCATCAACTTTTGTTTATCTATCTAGTTTACCCACAATAAAAATTGTAATTGCATAAGTGAAGAACTCTCACAATCTTCCTTGTTTTAAGAAGAAGAACAAAAAACTTACAAAACTTGTAGTTTAAAAGTGTAAGGAAATCTCTCTATTTATAGACAAGGAAGGATAGTATGAGAAGGTGATTATCGTGCCTTATCAGATAAATTACAATTCTTCAGAAAAATCACAACTTTTTGGACATGTCATAACTTATCGAAAAAGTCACAATCCTTCGAAAAAGTTATTTCGCTTCAATGTGAAAAGATGTTCGCGTATATATAATATAGAATAAATAAATAAATATAATATAATATAAAATATTGGATAATAAATTGGGTGTTTTAAGTTGGGGGTATTATAGTAATTTAACATTCAAGTTGAAGAGTTCATGCTTTTAAGGTAGTATAGATATAGATTAGTAAGCTTCTAGGACAAATAGTCCTTAGTAGCAATTTTACGTTAAATAAAGTGTGCACTCATAATTTTCAAATTAGGGTTTTAAAATCAAATCGTAACCGATAAGTCAATCGCAGAATGGTTTATTGACTTATTGATAATAGGTTATCGAATAAATGCTTGGGAAATGGATCAAAAAAATTTAATTAACAACTTATTGGTGTGGGGATTAATTACTCAATTTCCTTATTAGGTAAACTGTTAACCCGTTAAGAATTACCATAGTTACATTTTTATTCTAGGTATATTGGCCTCATTTAATATTTTACAATAATATATAAGAGTAATTATATATTATTTTTTTCTTATTCCTAACTCCTAAAGGCTAAAGCCGTAAAGCCACGAAATCTATTTACTTTTCTATAATTATCTATTTTTCTTTAAAGAATAGAGCACGAATCAGCAAACTCAAAAAGTACTGAGAATATATACATGAAAAGTATGCAACAATTTATCGAGCCATTGGCAAAGATGCTTCAACTGGACAATGAAAATGTGACAACCAGTTAAAATTCTAGATTAATTTATCCATTTTATCTTGTTACTGTTTAAAAGTCATCCTTTTAGTAAAGTGCGTTCATCGAAAAAAAAAAATACCATAGAAATTAGAGGTTAACTGATACACCGCTAATCTGAAACCAAACTAACCGATATCTTATAAGTTGACTAACGAATTATTAAATTTAAAAACTGATATCCAATAAGCAAAACTATTAAGTGAAATTATCCGCCCGATCCGTCTTATAAATAGCCACCTTCAAATCCTAATCCCAATTCTTCAATCTCAAATAAAAAAGAAAAAAAACATTGTATAGTGGAACATTCATGCAAGTGCTGCTTAATTTCTACTTTCTAACATATACTTTGCGCACACTAGAAAATCATAAACAAATCTCCTAACTGAAATTAAATTATTGATACAATGAATAAGCAAATTCAGAATGTATCAACAATAATTATCTGCTCGTTGCTGCTATTGATTGATACTGAAATTGGAAATTTTTACCGATTTGTCGATGGAGCACAACGGACGATTCAAGTTTCCGACGATCTAGACGACGTCGTTGACGATGAAGAAGACGAGGCATGGAGAGAATGGGGAAGGAAGAAATCGACTAGCTCCGATTTCGATCCGCCGCCGCCGGATTTTGGTACGATGAGTCCGTCGGAAATTCAAGCGGAAATGATGAAGCGGCAGCTGGGTCCGGTTTTTGGGTTTGTTAAACTCCGACTTGGAACTCGGCGGACTCAGGTATCTCTTGCTTTACCTTCTTTTTTTTTGTGTTGATTCCGATTAATGTGATGAGTAATGATGCGCTAAATTGATTTTCCTGACTAATAGCATTGAATCTAGTGAATAGTTGTCTTGCTGAAAGAGTAATCTACCAATTGCCGTTCAATTTCAAGCTAGTTATACCCATTTTGCAGTGGCGGATGCATAGTGACCAAAGATTTATATATGAAAATTTCTGAAAATTAGAATATATTTTGTGTTTTGAACCCATATTTACATTGAGTTTTGAATCTTTAGAATATGTAAGATTAAATGTTAGGTCCGCCTCTAATCATTAGGATCTATTCGGGTTATAAGTAGAGTGAGAAAATTAGTTGACAAACTGCAGAATGTGGTAAGATCTGAAAACCTCTCTTTTCTGTGAAGTTTCAGGTCTGTGGTGGATGCAACTTCTTGGTACTGGGTTCATATGAACCTAGTACTTTTGATGGGGAGTATAAATTTATATGTAAAAATGTTCAATAAAATCGCAATAGTTAATTATATGAACTTAAAAATAATAATTGTTCAATTCACAGCATCTAAAGATGGAATCCCATAAGCTTAAATTCGTGTTCCGCCTTTGATTCTGGTTGACTTTAGAATAGATAAGTCTGAGTTTTACATAACACCTCATCTGTATTAAAAGGCAATCTTTTAGTATTACAATGAAGTGAACCTAGAATCTAGATAGAAGGGAATAAATGTAGAGGATTACTAAAGTTGACCTCAATTGATTTGGATTGAACCATAGTTGACTGAATGGAAGAGTATAAAGTTGACTGAGATTACTTGTTTCCAGGAGAAAGTTACTGAAATAGCGATGAGATGGACCAAACTAGCAAGAACTGGAGCAATTGAGGCAAAGTTCATGAGTGTTGATGTGAGCACAATCATGTTTACTATGGAGAAAGGTCAAGACTCTATAGAGGTTTGTCTTACTTCCAAATTATGGTGTTTTATTCTATAACTACTAGCTTTACCTATTGATCCTTGCAACAAAGAGTTGAATATCAGAACACTTGTATAAAGGTCGTTGTGTGTCACCACCTCCCACCTATCCTACACAGTCAATTAAGGTTGTTACTGCGAAGCAACAGCTAAGGTGCACAGGACCTTACCGTCTAACCTGTTGGTACTCCGTATTTTCACGGAGAATTTCATTTCACCAGGTCCATGTCCGAGACAGCAGGGTAGTCGTTACACCATTCATGTCAAGGTTCTAGATTTTTAGCCTTCCAAATGCACCCTTTATCGCATGGTTTTACTTAGTTCAATTCTTCTTCCTTTGGGACGATATGTTAGTTAGTATTTGATAGAATCACAAGTTCTGTGTACTAGAAAAATTGAGATTTTATTACTCCATTTTGCAGTTGAAAGAGTTTTTGTTGGACCAACCAGAAGCATATGAGATTAAACTAGGGGACCAACTTTTTCGAAGACCAGGAGATCCTCCTTTTGAAGAAGTATTTGAGAAGATTCAGAGGGAGAGAAGCAAAGTCGATCATACCAGCTTAAAGAAGAATCGGCATAATGAGTTGTAATCACCAGAAAAGAAATCTTGACAACTAATTTTGATCACTTATAACATGTATTATCAGGAGGGCAGGTGTAAATGGCTGGCATCTTACATAATCTTTTTTTCGACACACACTTGACACTCTGTGCTTACAAGCTATGCATCCAAATAATCAGTTAATTCTTCTGACGTTCGATCATTGAACATCTTGTGTTGGGAAATATCTTTGTCAGGAGTAATGGTGCTTATAAGGGAATGATTTTGTTTAAAGTTTCTCCATGTCTTTCACCAATTATGATTTATGAATGGAGCTAAGGGGCTATCAATAGTACCCTTGTAGAAGAGGACAATTGGTATCCTCCATAATGTCCTAAAAACTGGATCTGTTAGATGGTTATATGACACTCCTAAACTGTGTTCTGCTCATCATAAAAGTATTTTAATTCAAACATAATATAAACCATCCCACAAACTAGATTGTGTATACATAGGGATGACCAGAGCAGTCACAATGCTCAAATCCATAATTCTGTAAGAAAAGATGCTCAAATCCATAATTCTGTAAGAAAAGATTATCGATAACGGAGGATACTGCAGTAGACCCTATCGGCTTTTAAAAAATGCAAGTTAAGTGAAAGAATACAGGATTATTTCAGCTTATTGCTGAAGTCAGAGAGCTCGAGAACATGAATTCTGGAAATGCCAGCAGCTTCCTCCCTCTCCTTTTGAGTATTGTAACCCCAGTCCCCTGCTTCAAGAAATCAGATCAGCAATCACTACAACATTGCAAATCTATAAGAAGCAAATTGAGTATGATAAGTCACCTAGATACAAGTTCCATCCATCCAACTCGGACTCTTTAATCACATTCTTTAAAGTAGCAAGCCGGTCTTCCACAAAGCTGAGCAATATTCAGAAAAAGTAGACACTTAATTTCACGCAGTAGAAGCCAAATGGCTAATTCAAAAGAAGTTTGAATAGTTCTTATGCTATGAAATCTTACTGTAGTTTCAGACCCTGGTGTTCTGGCATTTCCTGAAGTTGCTTAAGCACTTTTACTTTAGGTCTGATTAAAAAGAAGTTTCATCTAAGCATGAATATGTGCTTGAATAAGTAAACACTAATTGACCATGTCTCTCTTGATATTGCAGTTAGCAATCCAACTTCGCGTGAAGTAAACTTACCCTGTGCCGAGACCAAAGATCCTTTCAGCTGGAATAGTTATCCCAGCAATCCCTTTAAGTAATGCATCTGCAAAGCGGCTCTACAAATGGCAGTGGAGTACAAATATTAGATTCAACGGCCTATCTCAAGACTCTTAAGAATACAATTCCACTTTCATCAAAAACAAGCTAAAGATTTAAAAAATAAAATGTCACTTGTATGCATGGTGAATATTTCAGGATAAATTAGTTCGAAAGATTTTATCTTTAGGTGAATGTGCGCATTCTAACAAACCTGCTTCGTAGTGACTATATAAAGCTTTGAACTTGCAAATTTCAGTGCATCAGGTACTCCAGGATAAAACCTGTAGAGAAAGCATAAACTTTTTAGTATTTTTCCAACACAGTATATTCTTTGACGTGATTGAGTACTACCTTTAAACAGCGGCGAATTTATTGTGCAATTTATGAAGCACGTGAACTCATAGTCTTTCGCAAAATTAGATATTTTATGTACATATTGTCTTGAATTGATCTAATATTACCTGTTGGCACCCATGCTATTAAAGAGATTAATGATGTACTTGGTTTTACCTAGAAGAACAAGGATCAATTCCCACTTAATTCATTTTTTTTCTATTGTCTTTAGTATGCACTCAAGTTCTTGAAATCTTAGATCTGCCTCTGACCGTAAAGAATAAGTGATTCTAGAGAATGACAATGAGATGAGCACCGACCAACTTATAGGTTGTAGTACTACTCGGAGTCTTAAAAGCTTATCAAGCTAGGAAACTGACAAGCAGATAGATTTAGTTTGTTTTGGAGCACATCATTCGATATAGGTAGTCAGTAGTCTATAGTGTTTGTTTCTCTTTAAGTTGGTTCAGTGATTATACATTTGCCAGAGATTAGAGCTAATCAGGACCCTCAAGTGGTTGATTCGATCACACAGGCATAATCAACAGCTACACTTACCTGTTTGCACCTATCCAAGTAGCCAAATCATTGTCCATCCATTCATCTCTAACCTTACCGAAAAGATCTATAAGAAAATCTCTGTCTTCATTCCATTCTGCCATTATAATGGGTTTAATCTTTGCCCAGTTCTCAAGTATTCCCTCCACTGTTAGTCCCTCTGCAACCTATCACATTAAGAAAGATATCACCTCGACGAACTTTATGATACATCAGCTAGAATGAATAGATTTGTGTCATCATATCAAAGACACTTGTATTTTTTTTTGTGTACCCACCGAAGACGTGCGAATAGAAGAGATTCTCGATTCCAAGAGCAACCTCACAAGTAAGAGATTTTCATATCCAGTTTCCACTACAGGTCTAACCTGCAGAAAGTTTGAAGGTTGATCACTTTCTGCAACAACAACAACAACATACCCCATATATTCCCACAAGTGGGGTCTAGGTAGGGTGAGTGTACACGGACCATACCCTACCTTTGGGTAGAGAGGCTGCTTCCCATAGATCCTTGGCTCAAGGAAAATCTTTTTTTCAGAAAAATAGTTCGAAAGAAATGCAAGAGTAAAAGTTGTGATGATTAGCACAATTGGCACCCGTATATGGATCTCAAATATCATTGTTATTATAACAGAAAACAGTTCACTCGCTGACAAAAGATTTACTCTGACAAGAAGGAGATGATTACGGACAACATTCACTTATTAGAATAGTATCTGTGCAATTATTACCAAATGCTATTCAAAACACTTCTGCTCAAGTTATTAAGGGATGAGAAATCAGTTCATCCCTTAGTAGGAAAATCAGTATTTCCCATATAATGATATTGCAAAAATAGGAAAATCCGAGATTAATCAGTGTAGCAGTTTAGTAGTTGTAACTCCACTCTGAACAACTTTGACGGAAGATTCAACAACAGCAACATACCCAGTGTAGTCCCACAAAGTGACGGAACATTCACATATTACCTTATTTCTCTTCCTTCTACTTCCTTTCCCTCCCCTTATTCACAAGGTACCCCACCGAAAAGATAAATAGATCAGAGGAAAACCTGTTGCTGAGAGTCAAAAGCATGGAAGTTTCAGAGCACCATCAGCATTTCAAGAATGACTCACTTATGAGTTTGAAATGCATACTTCGCCTGGTTTTTGCAATTTCATATAACCCAGAGGTCCATTTACTACATCACTGATTTCAACAGTTCACAGGATTATACACACACGACACACCAACACTACTAACCTCAGGGACGGATCTAGAAGTCAACATATGGGTTCAACATAGGTTTAGTTCAAACTCAATAATTTTATTAAGAAAATTCACTAAAAGTACAAAAAAACCCAGTTACTAATACCTAATACCATCCTAGAATTTAGAACCCATAAAGTTCAAATCTCGGCTCCACCTCTGACTAGCCTAGTTCAACCCCAGATGAATATGCTAAGAACATTTAATAAATCACTTACGGCCATGACGTTGAACTCAATGTGCGCATTCCAACACCCTTTATAGTAGTGACTTATCTCATGAGAAAAGACTTTGTTTTCTTTCAAAGAAGCATGCTTAATACAGCCTATTACATATATAAACATTCTACACATATGTAAACTAAATCAGGGGCAAAAGCCTGTCCAAATCCACCACTACCACAAATGTATCTCCTTCACATGAACAATTTGTCTTTCACTATTTCACCTGTAATTTTACTTTCTAAGGAAATGAACAAAGAAAGCATAATACTTTGACAAGCTAAGACAAAAAGAGAAAAAAAAAAAAAAAGAACTTTACCACATGCATCTGACCTACAATCCAATCTTCCAAAGATGAGTCCACCCCATTGAAAAGACTAGGCCATCTCACTTTAGCAGCCTGCAAAACCAACATTTTTTTTCAAAAAAAAAAAATTGAATATTGGGAAGCAAAAAGGGGCAAGTAAAATAATGACCTTAACAGCAGAAAGAGAGCTTTCTCCACAGCTATCGCAGAGAACTCCATCAAAATCCAGGGCATACAAATCCCCCATTTTTGTGACAGTTATTGGCTCTGAGGTTGTTAAATCTAAGCCTGTGTGATGGAGGGTCTCTTCAATACCCGCCAATCAAATTTGATCAAATATATTTTGACTCAAACTGACAGCTGATTTCTTGTAAGATCATCGTGGGCCTTATTGCCCTTGATCTGACCCGAATGACATGACTAACCCGAATTTGGAATTAGGATGTATTGGGTTAATTAATCTGAATTCATGCCGAGTAAAGTTTTATATCAAGTTATTCTCTATTAATCATTGACAACTTTAGAGCAGCATCTTGGTCTCTTTTTTTCTAGTGATTTTTTACTTCTAAAAATACTAGCATTAATACTATTTGAAATGACGGTAACAAGAAAATAAAGTTAACGACTACGATAGTTAAAATGATATTTTTTGAATACTTGTTTGAAAGTTTGAGAGTAAAGATAGAGATACAAGTTGTATAGATTCGTCTAGGCGAGAGATGAGAAAGTTCATGATCTAAATCAAGTGAAGTGCATCAAGAACAAGAATGACAAACTTTTGATAAAAGAGGTACACATTAGAGAAGATAGACAGAAAAATTTTCATAAACACTTAAATGAAGATTGAAGAGGGGGATAGGGATATTGCATTAAGGAGTTAGAGCACTTTGAGAATCATAGACAATTTGAATATTGTAGATGAAAAAAATTGAAGACGATGAGGGGGCGATCCATAAGATAAGGAGGGGCAAAGTCATCAAGCCACACAAAATTGTAGTGAAATTTTGAGAAAATATAGGCAAAATAGGTATGAAGTGGTTGACTATATTGTTTGATATAATTCTTAGGACGACTAGAATGTCAAAAGAATGGAAATGAAGTACAATAATTTTATTGTATAAGAACAAGAGAAATATCCAAAATTGCAATAACTATGGGAGTATCAAGCTACTAAAATACTCTATGAAAGTTTGGGAGAAAAATGATAGAGATAGGGTTGAGGAGGGGTGTGATCATCTTCGAGAATCAAATTTGAATTTATGTTGAGGTGATTAACTACAAAAGTAATTCACCTTGTAAAAAGACTGTTGAAGTAATGCAGTGGTAGTATGAGAAATTTATAGTGTTTATTGACCTAGAATAACATATAATAAAGTTTCTAGGGAGGTTCAATGGAGATATTTGGAATTTAGAGATGTTCATGTGACTTACACTCTCACAATTCAGGACATATAAGATGGCGTCAAATTCCATGTAAGAATAATGGTAGAAACTCATAAGACTTTTCGATCGAAATAAGACTGCACACTAAGATTCAACCTTAGCCTGATTTTATTTGCCTTAGTATTGGATGAATAGACATTGCGCATCTAATGAGAGATGTCATGGTATTTTTTATTCATAGATGACATTGTATTGATTGACAAGATGCACTGAAAAGTTAACGATAAACTATAAGTTTAGAGGCAGGCCCCAAAGTTTAAAGATTTTAGGTTTAGTAGGACAAAGATTGAATACTTGAATTGCAAGTTCCCATAGCGCAATGGACAGAGCTGGAAGTGAAATCGATATACAAGCTATTATCAAGTAGTTTGGGTCTATAATACAAGGTAATGGGGAGATTGAGAAGGATGACATGCATCGTATTGAAGCGGGGTGGATGAAATGGAGACTCACTTATGAGGTTCTATATGATTAACGTAGTATCACCAAGGCTTAAGGGTGAGTTCGACTTAGTGATAGTTAGATGTACCTTGTTATATAGGATAAGGTGTTGACTTGTCAAGAATGCATGTGTTCCGAAGATAAAGCTGATAAGAAAGATGTGAATGCGCATATGGATTTGTGGACATACTAGAAGATATATATATATATATATTACTATAAGTTTGAAGCTCCAAAGTAAAAAGTTGAATTACCATTTTGCCCCTTTACTATATTAAAATTTGATTAATTATTTAATTAAATACAAATATTTCAATCACATAATGGTAAGAATTTGAAGTTCATAAACCCTTTAATAATTAAATTGTTATTTTCTTGATAAATGAGTACATTGATATTGCTTTTAATCAGATTCATAAATCTCATAATAGAAGAATTTGAAAAGTTATGATTGATAAAACAATGTAACCGGAATTTTTTCTTTTGAAATAGCTACATTTTTCCTTCTAAATAGACTCTATTGTTTATTATTGATGTAAAGAATTTGAAGAGATGTCATCATATATCATCATATGATCATATATCATATCATATCAGATATTACTAAAAGTGGAAAGCTCCAGCCTTTAAAGTTGGATTGTCATTTTACCCCTTCATTATATTAAAAATTTATAATTATTTAATTAATTAAATAGTAAAAATAAAATTATAATTCACCCAAGGCTTAATTACATGTTTCAGGTTCAAAACAAAATTTTGCGTGTTTAGATAAACAAAACATCAAAACATTTCAAATTCTTGGCTATGTTAATTTAGAAACAATTAATATTTAAAGGAAGTTGCTTTTTTAATAGCTAAAATAATGATAAGAAATAATGTTGTCATACTAAATGTTAATAATAGCTAAAATAATGATAAGAAATAATAATTTCTCATTTTACAAGCTTTCCAAAATTAGTTTATACATTTTCGGAATGATTATAAATAATTAAAAATAAATAATAGGTATATAATTTAATAAAATAATTACTATAAAAACTTGCAATAGCTTATGACTTTATATGATTTTCTATAGCACTAATATTACAAGTTCAAAAATACTTTAAATAGATAAAAAATAATTTCAGAAAGAGTCTTTTTCACTATCCCATTAACTACACATACGTACAATGTATGTTATTTAATTATGTCATTTTTAAATTAATAAATTTATATTATCTTGAGCTCGTAGTTATAAAATTTTTGCAGAAATTGAAGAGTTATCTTTTAATTATTCAATACAGATTATTATATTTGTCAATTTCCACCATATATCAGCTCACACTTTTGCAATACTCTTCTTTTACTCAACATACTTCCTTGTTCATGGTTAGGTAAATATTATCTACTGATATTTTCTTCTCTTCCTTTTATTACAATTTCACATTTTTCATTCCAATTTATTGATACTATTTTTCCTAATTTTGTCTTTCCTTTTTTTAATAGGAGTTGTTGTGTGCAATCCATATTATAATGGAAAATTGACTTTATAGTGTTTTCAAAAATACAGATATAATTGTTGTTATGCATTTCAAGTTTTCTTTATATATACACGGTTGAATGTTGATGTATGGATTGAAAGTTTCTCAATGAATTGCAGGGATTATTGTGAGGTATGATTGATTAAACTCATTAGAAATACATATTCTTATTATGCTTATAGTTTGAAATTTGAGGGTATCTGTTTTGATTTCTTATCTTATACATATTTTTCAATTTATATTACAATAAATTTTTTTGTATTTATACATAAATTTATAACTATAGACATATATTATGCAACCATATAATATGGAATATACGTGCAATGCACGTGTCCAGATACTAGTATATATATATAAGAATGAAGTTGTGCACGATAAGGTGAGTGGCCTACCTAGAGGACAATATGAGGAAAGCAAGCCTAAATTAATTCAGGCATATAAAGAAATGTGAGTAGATGCATCAAGAAGGAGGTGTAAGAGGTTGACATTAGTTAGATGAGGCACTTTGATACCTTTTGATGAAAGATATGATTCAGAAGAAAATAGGAATCCAAAATTCATTGAGAAAAGAAAGTAAATCAATTATATTCACCAGAAAAAAGAAAGTACAATTCGAAAAACGTTAGAATTATTTTGTATAAGATAAAAATAATCAAGACATACGATCATATCTAATCTAAAACTTTGAGGGTACTGAAAATTACCTAAGAAAAATTTAGACAATACACGTTGCCAAGCTATGCAATGATGTGTGAGAGGTTATGAAGATAGTGGTGGTACCCTGAAGACTAATGATACAATTCATTCGGTGAGAATAATATAGATCGACCCACCCATGTTGGTTAGTCCATACAGACTTTAAAATTTTATCAATTTGGATTAGTCTATTTTTTTTTTCTTAAAAAAAGAAATAATATATTTTTAAAATTTAAATTTTAAAATATTAACATAAATATCAACAAGACAATATTATATGGTGTTACTATTTGTTAACCAAATTTCAAATGCATGAATAAAATAATTTTAATAATCCTTATTATGTTTGACTTCAAGTGAAGATTTGGTTGGATGACTTCAATATGAAATCATTGTCATTTTATGTAAATATCAACATATTAAGTGAGATTTACGGATGGTAGAGTATATACAAATCTTATCTCTATTTCGTGGAGATAGCGAAACTGTTTTGCTTAAGACTCTCGATTCAAGTACATAATACCAAAGTAAAACAAAAGAAGAAAAGAATGAAGAATCATACAGAAAAAATATTTTTTATATTTGAATGTTTTAACTTTATAATATTTATATGCATGGTTTCTGACTTTTAAGTTTGGACTTCTCTTATTATTTGCAGTATTCTATATTTTTTTAATTTAATATTTTAAAACTAAAATTAGATATTAAAAAATTACATATAAAATATTATAAATTGCATTTTTTATCACATCACTATAATAATTAATATTATTTTAAAAAATTATCGATAATAATAATATCATACTTAGTGTAGTGCCACTCGATTAGATTTGGAGAAGCTTGTGTATATGCATACCCTATGTAACACCTCGCTATTAGAAAGAGTTAAATTTAGAAAAAAATAATTTGGAAAGAGCCAAATTGAGAATTTGGCAAGTTATGCCTAAGTTGTGAGTTTTGGGTAAATTTCGAACGACCATAACTTCCAGTACATGATGAGTTAGGTGGCTCATAAGATATCAAATGAAAGGTCTTTGAATCTCCTTTCCAACACCATCGAGTTTGCTAGATTTCGAGTTCGGATGAGGGATATATACCCGTTTTAAGTCAGCATGTTCAGTCAAGAAATTTTACCTAAATTAATAAGGGGTACTTTGGTCTTTTTCTTACCACATCAGCTTTAAACATTTTTAGTAAGGTTTTAGGGGTCTAAACTGATTTGGGTAAGTTTTCGTAATCATAAATACGCTTAGGGTTTTAAAAGAGGGTTCAAGAAGAGAAAAGAGGAGAAAAGGAAGAACGATCAAAGATTTCTTGCGAATCAAGGATTTGTTTTGCCAAATCGAGGTATGTAAGTTTTCATGTAAATTCCAACCGTAATTTCGTTCTTGAGGTTGAATGATTTGAATTCTTGATGGGTGTTCTTGAGGTTTTGTTCTTCATGCTTTGTTTAGGGAGTTTGATGAAATTTGAGGTGAGGATTTCGATTGTTGAGGGTTGTTCTTGAGGGAAAATGAGTAGATTCTTGTGTACTTGTATTGGGTAATTGAATCTAAGGAAAATTTAAGGAAACCAATCGATTCTAGGCGAGTTAGGATCAGAAAACGAGAAGAAAAATTCGTTGGGATTTTCTGAGCTGGGGCTGGCGCACTGGACCAGCAGTGCGCCAAAACTGCGCCTCTGAAGTTCAAGGGTTGGCGCCCCGTGCCACTCAGTGCGCCAGGGTCGCATGCCCCATCCTATTTTTAGTTGTTTGCTCCGTCTGAGTTCTTTTAAAGTATACCTTTACTCATTTCTGATTCTAACTACTCTAAACTACATCTAAACATAGAGAGATCCTTCACAATATGAATCATAACCCTTGAATTCATAATTCAAATTCAAAGTAAAGTTAATAGTAAAGTCTTGAAAGTTCTTTCGAGTCATTTTGAGAAGGCTTTTACAATCTTTTAAAACTTGTTTTAAGACTTGAGTACTTGAGTTTGAGGATAAAGAGAGTTGAGTTTCATTTGTCAAAATGAATATATGGGAACTAAGTATTCCTAAAGAGTAAATATTTTTACATTTAAAATGAGGGGAAACATCGATTTCCAAATGAGTTTATGAGGAGTTTTGAGTACTATCTCTTTTAAGAGAAACCTTTTGAGTAATAATCTCAAATTTTGAGGATGAGGAAATATTTTTAAACATATGAGCTAAGTTATATTTTGGGAGTAGTATTGAGAACCGATATGGGGACGAGTTCAAATAACTCAAAGTTCTCATAAACGTAACCATGTAGCCAACGTGGGTAGAAAGGGTCATACTTTTTAGATGATTCCTTATTGCTTTTTAAGCATAGCTTAGTGGATTCACTTAGTTGAGGATGTCTTATACTCTAGCAAGGTATAAGACAGTTCTGGTAGCGTGGGCGAGACGTTGTATCATCACATAGCTCATAGTGATGGTTGTCGGTTACAGAATCTCCCAAATTGAGTTATTTTGTATCTTTACATAAACTGAATATTTATTGTATTTTTAAATACATTGAATTGTTATCTACTGTTTTAAATGCTTTATATAAACTGCATCTTTATTGTTGTTTTTATACTGTATTGAGTTGAGTATCCATGAGTTGAGGTTGAGTTGATCAGTAAAGTTGAGGTGAGTATGTTTCCTTCTTTCCAAGTACAAGCTATTATGAGTATTCAGAGGGTTTCACATTGAGTTTACATTTCAGTTTTGTTTATTAGGATGTCGTGGGTCTTGTCCCGATGTCCATCTCAGTTAGTAGAGGCTTCATAGATAGTAGAGTTTTGAGAATGTTTCATTTTCATTTTTATTTGTTAATGTTTTAGACTTGAGTTGCCTCTTTTGGCCAGTGAATGTTTTAACACATTTATGAGTTATTTATTTTAAGACTATGAGTAAAGATTCTACTTTTGAGTTTATCTATTATATATTGAGAAAGTCTTTCGCTGAGAGTTGAGTCAGGCCAATGATTCACTTGGGGTCAATAATGGTTCTCGAGTGTCGGCCACATTCAGGGGTGTAGGCTCGGAGCGTGACACCTTAAACCTACCTCAATATATTAAAAGATATACTTTGAACTTTGAAAAGCAAAACGTACTATAAATTTTGACCACAAAAGGATTAGAAGTCTTTTTATTTCAATTTATTTGCGTGATTCTAACTTGACACAAAATTTAAGAAAATAAAAAAAATAACTTTTAAACTTTGTGATCATAAACTAAAAATATATATATAATATATCAGAATATGATAAATCTTAGGATTATAAATATGTTATAGAAAAGTAAAAATTTAAGATTTTTAAAAAAAAATAAATTAAAAATAAAAAAAGAATTGATAGCGTGCCGCACACTGGATGCTTCTCTCCTCACGCAAGCAATCAAACAAAAAAAAAGAAAAGAAAAAAGGGGGACTAGCGACACGAACGACCGGACCCACAGATTTTTTGTCTAAACTAAGCAAACCAAACGGCGCCGTTTGTTTGAAACAGTTACCGGCTTTCCCGGTAGCCTTCTCTTCCCCCAAAAATTTTCACTATAATCATGCCCTCTCTCTTCGCTCGTTCTTCGAGACAGTTTCTAAATTTTTTCTCACAGTAGCAGCACAGTTTATCTTCATCTCTATCTGCTTATTATCACTTCTGTAAGTATTCCAAAAGAATTCGAATTCCATTTCTTTGTTTTTTGATTGTTTGATTCTTTTTTTCTTATGGTTTGTTGATTGGATTATATGATCATTGACTTATTTATTCAGTTACTTTGCTTTAGCATAAGCATTTCTATTGGATATGGTTTTGGATCTCTTTGCATGTCCTGACTAGATGATGATTGAGCAAATTGAATGTTAACAACTTTGTGTACATGTTTTGCATAGATATGAATTGATTTAGAGGGTAAGAGAGAGAGTTTTGCTGGTAAACAGTCAGAAAAGAGAGTGATGAATCTAGCTAGTGTCAAGATACCAGATTCATCTGAACTTTTTTTTCTTCTAAAATTTGGGGTTGGGAGGGGAAATGAGGAGGGGATTACAAGTTGGGGGAATCAAACCCTCGCTAACAAGTGAAAGTTCAGGTAGCCAACTAAATGAGATATTGATATCCCCGGTTCATTTGAATCTGGTGTTCTCGATGCTGATCATATATTTATATTTAAAAATCCCTATAATTGTAGTAACAAATATTAGTAGATATGAACCCATGACTTTAAAAATACAATGACTTCAATGTTAAAAAACTCAAAAGTTGAACATATAAATTTTAAACTGTGCATCTGCCTTTGAGAAAGGGCACATTTTTATTGGCTTAATTATAGTCTCTATGTTTTAATTTGTTTGTGTTACTTTCCTTTTTAGTCTAAAAAGAATGTTGCTTTCCTTTTTGACAATTTTTTAGTTTCAACTTTCCACGTGACATTTTTAGAACCACAAGATTAAAGGACATTTTGATACATTTTACATACCTCTAATGTAAGAACCCAAGAATCAAAATCTTTTTTACCTTCTCAAACTCCGTGTCAAGTCAAAATCATATGTGAGCAATGCAAAGCCACGAATTCTAATAGGGATTCAAAAAAATGTTTAAATTGCTATATCTAGAGGAATTGACAGTTTATATATGTACCATAAATAAATAATTTTTACCCTACTTCAGTGGCAGATTATGTACAAGAAAGGGGTTTGAATCTCCTTCATCGAGAAATTATACTACACAAATAGAATAAATATGAATTTTTTGGTAATATGCCGACTGTTGAATCCCCTTGATATGAAGAGTAGTCTTTCATAGTGGTAAAGAGGGCTCAAAAGTTGTTGTAGGTCATAGCTTTATATCCCAATTATGACATTCTAGAATGTTTATCATTTCACGGCTCCACCACTATCCACCTTGCATAGTATAATTTCGGATGTTAGGGATTCAATTTAACTCCTTCCTTACCTTTAGCTCGGCCAGCGGTGGCAAGACCTAAACATAGTATCATTATGTAATACCATCTTGAAGCATGTGACCACTTTATGTAAAGCTAATTGGTGTAGTTTTGGTTTTTGAGGTATAAATATGTTATTTTTAGCAGGGCAAAGTATTTTCCTTGAAAGTTGAAACTTCAGGTTTTGAAATTTGTCGACTTGCTAGGTAAAGCATCAATTGATGTTAAACTAGTGACTGTATAGGTGTAAAATTTTGCAAATGTAAAGTCTTGGAAATTCTTTTTAACCTTCTATTTTTTATGTTTCTTGGATATATTTGATTTTTGAATGTGGTCTCATGCTTTATTAGCTCCTAAGTTCTAATCTCTATTCATTTTCTTTTGTTTCCCCTTTCTTTCTCTCTCATGAATGTGAAGTGTATTGAGTTTTAATTACAGAAAATGGAAAATAATAAGGAAGGGGAGGAAACTGCTCCTTCTAGAAATGAGTGGGAAGTCGTATCGCTCACACAGTCGGCATATGCTGCTGCCCCTGATTCAAGACAGGTTGATCTCGTTGATGATAGTAGTGCAGAGTTTGTAGCTGAAACTTCTGATCCAATGATTATGTCGGGGCACTTTGGCTTTCCACCAAATCAGCATGAGAATGCGGCATTGCAACCATCTAATGATGAGATTCTCAATGAGAAGGGAAGTGAAGATGCTACTCCTGAATTTGTTGCTGACAAAGGGGTTGATTCAAATACAGATGAAGTGAGGCCAAAAACCAAAGGATTGAGCACAACGGAATTTCTTGGAGATCAAATGTTTGATGAAAAGGTTAGCATTTTATCCTTAAGTGGTGCAAAATTTGAAGAAGATGCAGTCTTGCAGGGGTCAAGTTTGGTGGACAAAGAGCAGAATTTTTTTAGTTCTACTACATTTAGTTCTTTCCATAGTGAAGAACCCATGGGTGTGTCAGCATCCACAGAGGAAAGCAATATGCTTGCAGAACCAGTTGAACTCGTTCACCAGGTTATTGATTCTGGCATATCTAATTTGCCAAAGGCTAAAGATGAAGATAATGATGATGCAGAAAATCTTCCTTGTCAAGCCTGGTGGAAAAGGCGGGCTGTTTCACTTCTTGCCCACGCAAAAGATGCCAACACATTCTGGTCCATTTTCATTGCTGCAGCTGTTATGGGCCTCGTGGTTATTGGTCAGAGATGGCGGCTAGAAAGGTGGCAGGTATTGCAAATGAAGTGGCAGTTTGGAGGCCATGATGAGGTAATTTTACTACAGTTCTACTTGAAAATAGTTCAAACTGGTGTCTTCACTGAGTTGATCATGTTTTACCTTGGGTCTGACATTGTTAGTGCGCTTTTACCAATCAGCTAAGTAGATGATGAATTGATTAATTAAGAAACTTCTGCTGTAATTCTTTTGATTAGTTCCTCCTGGAGAAAGAGGTGATTTACACCATTTACATAAATCCTTTTCTCCTCCATGTCCAGCTTCCATTTCATTCATTTCAAATAATAGTGGCCCATGGGATAGTTGCAGACGCCGTATAATAGATACTTTACCTGCTCTTTCACCCTTTTGTTTCTTCCTAAGAGGTTCATCTTTTCTTTTACTGCATTGGTCTGTTATTATTGAGAGATTTTATCTTTCAATACCACTATGATTTTGTAATGTTGAAATATTTATTCTGCTTTCCCCTGAAGCAGTGCATATTCGTGTTCCTTGGACACGCGTGGGATATGTAATTTACTTTGTCAATCTTTTGACATGACATCCTCTAGTATGGCACACATCTTTAGAGGTGGGACTGGGAGTGGAATGAAATAAAGGAATTTCTTCACCGTCTATATGAGTGGCTTTTTAGGCGGTGAAAGGGAGGATTGGATGATATGAAAGCGAGAGGCATTTAGGGTGAGTTTTTTTTAGAGGGAATCATCTAGAGATGGAATAGGAGGGAGATCGGCAGAAAGCGGAAGATACTAAGGCATCTAAGAAGGTAATTTGCTTTACTTGGTGCACGTACGAGATGCAATGCTAACAATTGCTCGTGTAAGGAGTGGGAGATTATCCTACTACATAGCAAATTCGCGGTCAACTTCAGGAGTAGATTTTTTGTTATTGAGCTTGTTTCCTGCGGTATATCAGATAACCTGCGACTTGAAGTTCTTTCTTTGCATCCTTAAGTTTTTTATTCTTAAGTTGGCTGAAATAAGTCTATTTTACAAAGACATGGAGCCTTAACAAATGAGTGATTTGTTGTGGTTTACTATTCCTTTAAATCATATTACTGTATTTCATATCTGCACCTCAAAATATTTATTCTCTCATATAAGTTGCATAGTTGGATTCACCGATTTGTTTTCCTTGCATCGACAGATAATGAACAGGGCATTTATTAGTCCCATATCCCGATTGAAAGAAGTGATAATTGGGAGTGGTCGTCGTGGTTCCTTTATCCGAGGGAATGCTTCAACACAACGTTAAGATGATGATGACGAAAACAAACTTGTCTGTGTGCAAGTCATAGCTTAGGTTTGCTTTCCAGTATACCTAGTATTTATTTATGTTTGACGGGGTTTAACGATTGGATATGTTATTATGATGGAATTGTAATCATGGAATCTACAAGCAAGCACTTGAGGTGACATTATTGGGAAAAAAACAAGTAAATTTTGTCATTCCTCTCTAATATTGATTCCCAGAATTTACAAAAAAATGTGCATAAGATTGAAGCTTTCTTCTGGAAATTAGCTCCCAATATTAAAACCTTCTTAAAGACGAATGTTGTAGTATACTGTGATCCTTAGACTAATGTTGTAGTCAAAACCTTTTGTTATATTTTAACTTGACATGGAGTTTAAGAAAATAAAGAAGAATTTTGAATTTTGTGCTCTTAAATTAAAGATATGTTAAACTGGTGTTAAAAATGTTACATAGAATGTTGGAATTGAAGAGTCGCCAAATAAAAATAAAAGACATATTTTAAAACGGATCAAAAAGAAAAGTAGGATAAACGACTTTTCATATTTTTGAAGAGCAAATGAACCTCAAAACCTTGCAATTCATGGAGGAACCTATGAGATGACACATTAGATTTTAAAATTGAGAGAGATTCAGAATTTGAAATGCACATTGAACTTATCCATTAAGGACCACGTACCTCAATTTTCTTTTTTTGGGTACTGCATGAACGTAGATATCAGACAAAAAAATTCAACGCTTTAGTCAGTTTTTTTAGAGAAAATTTCAGAAAGCATGACATTATATTCCTGCATTACTATATGAAGCGAGACTTTCGAACACATTGTATACATTGTCCTAGTTTCAAGTTGTATACACTCTATCCCACTCGAAATACTGCATTAAAATATTTGATACTGTGTCGAATCAACTCGAAATCGGAATATTGTTTAAAATTGAAAACAAAGTGAAAGGTTCAAGCACCCTTTGGGATTGCAAGTTAAAAATTTATGGATTCAACTTTAACAATCAATATTAGTGTAGAAGAATATGATTGTTTAGAGGATGTTGAAAAGTTAGATGATATGTTGTGTCAAATAAATTTCTCATGTGTAGCAAAATCGTATAGTCTAAGAAAATCTGAATAAAATCAAGAAAAAGAAATAATTTTGTGGAAAAGTTATTCACAACAAAACCTTGTAAACTTTCAAAAACGTATTTGAAAAAAGTTGTTTACCTAAATCTCATAGTGTAAGGAGTAAATTACATCATATTCCTACTTTTTTTCTAATTACAATAATTCCTTAAAATTTGTACCTTCCGGATATATAAGTCACCATCCGGATACATTAATTTTGATACAAGAAGTATCAATCTGTTACGCTAGAATAGGGAATAAAAATTGGAAATCAAATTAAATCTCATAAATTACGCTTACGTTTCTTCTTACTTTCAATCATACAGAGGCAAATTCTAACATAAAGATGAAATTCAAAATTTCAAATTGCTTCCCCTTGTTCACCGAAGAAACCTTTCAGATTTGATTCAAAAACTTGTCGAAATTTCGGGTAAGTGATGTGAGTTATGAAGGATACCAAAGTGATGGAATAGTTGTTGGACAAAAGATTTCTTTTGTGAATCTTCAAGTTCATAGAAGGTCCTTTCAATTTTGATTCAAGATTGTCGAAAATTTTTTAGATTCAAAATTCTTCTCCAAGTTCATCGAAGATCCTTTCAATTTTGATTCAAAATTGTTGAAAATTTTGAAATTCAAAATTCTTCTCCTAGTTTATTGAAGATCCTTTCAATTTTGATTCAAAATTATCAAAAAAATTGAGAAGATACATCATGAATATCTTCATTAGTCTTGTTATTATCATCGTCAGTGGTTTGAAGAAGTACTTGAGCTTCTGTGAGGACTCTCAGCCTCTCCCTTTGTGCCGATGCCGCCGCCGCCTCTATGGCGTTTTCCTCCTCTATCAACATTGACTATATAGTTGTATACTGAACGCCAAATTTGAACTCTCACTGCTTCTGCAGAGTAAAAGAAATGGGAAAAGTAGAAGAACACAACATTGATAGAGCAACCAGATGGATTTACATGTATCAGTTTTTATGTATTTATATATCATGTCCATAAAATCGTGCATGATACATTATTATTCATAACTTTAACTTCAGGGTAAAGAGATCTCATAATGAAATATATGGAATTACATGTATTGTGTTGTGTAGTCAATTTTTTAATTTGTGATCTCGAGATAGATATATTACTCATGATACATTACTATTTCTAAAATATTTAGTAGATTGCTAAGTACTGTAATCATACCTGATACATTAAAGTAGTAAAGTTTGCATATAAGGTGTTTGGTTTTAGATCGATACATTACCATGTGATAGTTGTTACGTATCAAATACATGTAGTGTTAATTTGTATGAATGTATCATGACCAAAAAAGATTTGATTTGTTTTTTCGAGATGAATATATTACTCATGATACATTATTATTCCTAAAATATTTAGTAAATTGCTAAGTACTGCAATCCTATAGATACATAAGAGAAGTAAAGATTGCTTGTAAAGTGTTTTGGTTTTATATCAAAACATTACTGTGTGTTAGATATTAAGTATCATATACATGTAGTGTTAGTTTGTATGAATGTATCATTGCCAAAAAATGATATTTAATAGTAATTTGTGTAAATGTATCATGACCATTAATATGTATCAGATATGTGTGATACACATTAGTCATTAATATGTATCAGTTATAGTACATTATGATTTATGTACCAAGATTATTATTGGGTAATCTTGATACACAACAAAAAACTGATTTATTACTATCTATATCCTTTTTAAATTAAAAAATATTGAAGATACATTATAAAACTTGATATATTATAAATGATACATTAGACATTAATTATGTATCAAGTACATAAGTATTGAACATGAAACCTACTAGTCGAATATTCAACAATATTAGGGTTATGTATCAATGTAATAAATAAATATATATATATATATATATATACATGATACATTGCATAAAACATAATCAATCTATTGTAGCATTGATGTATCAGAAATTTCATACCACTAACAAAGGATAATTTAAGAAACAAAACAAACAAGATACATTGAGAATATGTAACTTCGGTAAAGATGGGCATGAAGATGAATCCTTCTTCGATTTTGCCTTCTCCAACTCAAATATCTTCATGAATAATGGATCGTTTCTTTTTTAGATCTATTTTCAACAAAATCTTCATCGTTAGAATCAAAGGCACAACTTACAATATCTTGAGTAGTTAAAACTAATTGGGTAATCCTAATACTAAAAGAAGAAGCACCATCCATAAGTATCAGTAAATTGATGATGAAAAATTAAAAAAACAAAAACAAAGATGAACAGAGAGAAACAAGGAAGACGAACTATCTATTCAAGGAGTTGAAATTGATTTGATTGGAAAGAGAACGATTTTAAATTTCAAATTGTTACGAAAGAATTAACTGATAAGATTGTGGGAGTGAAATAGGGAGACAAGGATGGAGTAAATTAAGGAAGAGAAATGGTTTTGGGAGTGTAAGATTATGTATCCGGAAGTTTAGTATTAAGAGTAAAATAAGGAATTTTGGAAATATTTTGAAATTGTAGGAAATAATGAAAATTATGAAAATATAAGATGTGTATATAAGTAATTTTTCTATAAAATAATGCAATGTTATCCCTTAGGGAATACTTTAAGCACAAACTGATGATCCCTCAAATTTCAAAGCTCGTAAGAGTTAGGGAATTTCTAATATTCAAGTGCACTAACATTTATGGTTGAAGTCAAATCCTTAAATTTTAATGCACAATCTCAAAATTATGCGCACAACACAAGGGTTTGTGGTGGAGTGGCATGTACTCCTTCATTCTTAATCAAGAGTTCTTGGGTTTGAGTCCCCTTGGTATGAAGTCGCCTTTGTTAGAAAACACTTTACCCCTTATGTGAGACTTCTCGGCGCGAATCCAAATTTATTTGGACTCTAAAGTGATTACCGGACACTGGATGAAAAATAATAATTAAAAAAAAAAACCTTCCGCACACATTCTGATTCATTTTTTTAATTAGTCACTTTATTAACATATTTTAATTTTTCAGTTTTAGGCAAAAAATCAAGCATTATGATTTATGGTGGTATAAATCATCAACACTTTGAGACTCTTCGCAGAAAGTTGCCATTTTCAATAAGCTAATAAGTATTCTTAAAAATAGTTTTAGATTTATCAATACATCTTTAATTATGAGATGAAATGAAACTAAATTATTAGTATAAGTACCTATGTGAAATAGTAATCTTGTTAAAGGAATTTTGTTCATAGTTATATCTTAAATGATACATTCAAATGAATTGAGTTGATATTTTTTGGTATTTAAAGTCATATTTATCATTGAATAGTCAATTGAAAAATACTATACTCAAAAATTAATATTTTACAGCCGACCAAAAATTATCAAGTTCTACAAGTATTGATTCATAACATATTTGGTGTGATTTAACATTAAAAGATTCGGACCATATTTAATATATTATTAACAAAAATGTTCATATATATGCATATACTAGTTTCACGGCACGTGCATTGCACGTGTATCATATCATATAGTATATGATGTTGTAAAATAGAATTAATATTACTAATTTAAAGCTTTTTAGTAAATAATTATAATTGAAAGAACATTGAACACGTGCTTTTAAATGATTAATACAAATTATCATAGAGTTAATTATTTTTTGAGAACAAAATGACCATATATCATTGAAACATTTCAAAAACATTCAAAATTTAAATATGGGGAGAAAGTGACATTTCTTTAATAGTATTATTTTTTTCTTTACTCAATTTTGGAAACAAATTGAACCAACAAAATATAAAAAAATAGTAGCATCAAAAAGGTCACCAATAGTCTTTCCTCTTGTTATGACCATAAATAATGGACACCATTTAGATACAATTTTTCTCTTAAATATTCATACTTAAATTTTATTATGTGCATGACACTAATAAAGATTGCCATAAATATTTCAATATTTTATCTTTAAAGGTATAAATCTTT